CTTGATATAGTAGAGAAAAAGATAGCATTCTCCCTAGGCACTTGACCAGCAGACGCAGGTGGCGACCAGGACGCATATGATAACAGACAAAGAGCCTTATTTAGTTCAATATTAGGAGGTTCAGCCGCTCAATGGTATCAAGGATTAGCAGAAGATTTACCTTGGAACGTTAGATGAGATCAGTTAGTAGATAGATTCACTGATGATAAGGATAAGTACAGAAGAGGAATAAAAGCAGAAAACATAAAAAGACAACCTAATGAGTTTAATAAAAGCAACATACATAGGTTAAGCACGGCAGTCGACTGTGGATGGCCTAATCTAACTTTTAATGATGATCAAAAAGCAGCAAAGAAAATGGAATTCTTTGTACGCGGCTTAAGCCCGCCAGGTTTAGAACAAAAGGCGCATCAATTTCTAATTGAGAAGCCAGCTGCAACTTGGCAACAATTAAAAGATCATATTGCTACAAAAGACTTAAGTTTTGTAATAAGTAGTGAGTTTATCGGAACAGCATCCAGTAGCATAGATAATAAATTGGAAATAGAGTGAATAAAGGATCAACTTAAAGAGTTAACAGGACCAATGAAGGATCATAAAAAACGCAGCTTATAAACCACATGAGCATATAAACAAACAAAGCAACCCAATTTTTTGCAACTGGTGTTGCATATCAGGCCATACAATAAGCCATTGCTTTAGATATAACGATCGTCAGGAGCAAAATTGGTTGACATGTCGAATAGAAAAAAAACTTCCAATAGAAACAACGATTATCATTCACCTTACCAGGTCCACAACTTTAGTGATGATGATATTCCACGACACTATACCGATAAGGAGTGCAAACTTGTGAGTTTAAACTAGATCAGTCTCCGTCTGAACCAAAAGTACAATTGTATATTAACTTATACCAACATCCAGTCGGACACAAAAATAAAAAACGGTTTGGAAACCCAGTTTTTACTAGACACTGGAGCAACATGATTGCTTTTTAATTTTGACAGTTATGAACAATATTGTAAACTAGAGCCTCTACAGCTGAATAAATCTAGATCAAACACAGATGTTGTTAATGGAGAAAAGCTTAAACTTATAGGTTATACTAGTTCTGACGCAACTTTTGGTACTAGCACTGACTATCCAATAAATATTAAAGCAGCGATTTCAGCCCAGAACGGTAGCGATCTAAATAATTTAGAATTGGATTTCACTTCTCAAACCATTAAATCAATAAAATTTCCAAAATTTAAGTTACATTTTAAAAATACCCAGATATAACGGTACCTATCAGTATTATCAGAAGCAAAAAATATCCCTATCCAACTTTTTATCAAAACGTATATCTTGATAAAAATACTACTTTTGCACCAAAATCATCCCGCGTTATTTCAATATCTCCAGCAGGCGTAATTTTCAAAGTAGGAGCAGCGTTTAGAATTGATAAGTCTTTGGAACAAAAAGGCATGATAGCGTATAGTTGAGATTGTAAGTATGAAGAAAAATCAATACCTATCGTACTGAAAAATTCCAAGAGAATCAAAAGTAATTATAAGCAAAGATCCAATAGGCCAAACGTGTGAAATTGTAGAAGCAAAATAGAATTTCTTTTTCTGATTTAGAACAACTCTTTTTGTAATTCTTTTTATCAAAGCTTTTATAACTCTTAGAGTTTGGGCAGTTTCCCTAACATTTTGTATACTGAACAGTAGAATTAAGATAATCTTAGTCAAAAACAAAAACACGAGTGTTTCATATTTTGAAATTTATGTCACTAATCAATCCTTTCTTGCATGTTTTTGTTGGTGTTTTATATTCAAGCAATTGCGAAAAGCATAAAGCTTAGTGATGAAAAAATTTCAAACAAAAAAACTTGCTTTTGTACAAAAAATTTATATTCAAAACTAATTATACTACAATGAAAAACGGTTCTGTGACAACCAGAAGAATATACCAAAAATGCGTAGTCACGGATTAGTTTCCTGAGCGAGATCGAAAAACAGTCAAGTGGCTGAGACAAAAAAGTTTTTCGAGCTCAATTTATTTGCAAATTGCAAAAGGCCAAGAGCATGAAGTAATATAACTTTACGAGTCAAAAATAATTTCATTTTCAGGCGGTTTTATTACTGAAAAGTCAGTATTACACTGAAGGAATGTAAAATTACCCTACATACAATAACGAGAACTAAAAGACTGAAATGTTTGATGAAAGAACTAGCCAATGAAAATTTGTATCAAACTTTATTCTGCGAAGTTAATTAGCACCATCGGATTCCTCTTAGGGCCCAAAGAGGGACCAATGACATTAATTAATATCTTCGTAGTTTTCAAGTTACAAAATAAAAACTAGAAGAATTCATCAAAGAGGGAAATACCACCTCATTTCTTTTCAACACATTGAGCAAAGTTTTCACCAGTTTTCTTTATCATAAAATGGGCTAACAACGTTTTTCGACCCGACCCGCCGCAGATTTATGCCAGCATTTGCTGGTGGCTTCATGTAGCCTTTTTAAAATCATGGCACCATATTCTTTCAACAACACAAATGATTGTTGGTGGCTGTAGGCAGCCTTTGAGACTCTTATGATTCGCTCCTCATAATTTGGCCAAAATATCAATTCGATACTTTAAAATCCACAATACGTTGGCATTTAAACCCTTAACTAAAACAAATTAATTTCCGAAGGAACACTTTGAAAGTTGAACGGCATGATTTTTATGATTGCTTACATAAAATTTTACATCCCCAAAACCAGATGAACATTTCTTCACTAAAATTGTGAACATGGATTGGTGCAGGGTGTTAAAACCGAAGTGAAACTAATCCACTTATCTTTTTGAAAATTATACAGTTTGTAATTTGTCTTTAATTTTTCCTTTTCTTCGATATTTCATTTTGTTTTGGTTCTAATTCAAATCTTTTCTATTTCTTATCAAAACATGAAACAAAAATTGCTGGTTATGACAAAAATGTTGTCAAATTAATTATAAAGTTTACTTATTCTTGTCTTACAACTTTTACAATTTTCTTTTCGTTCACATTTGCATCTGCTAAAAATCAACTTAAAGTGTATGGCTGTATGATTTGCTAATTATATTACAATCAGGATGAAATTGAGAGGTTAATTTTATTTCTCCATTTTTCATCCTGGTGGTTTTGCGCTCAACACAAAAATAACTGATGTTTGATGTGAATAAGTCACAAAAATCAACCATATTTAGCTGGTGTATGCAACAAATTTTTCACATAATCATCTTCTGTAATAAACAGAAAATAGAAATGTGACATGATATTTGACAACAGAGTTGGAGTCGGTTATGAACTGTAAAAACTCTCAGCTTGAATACACAAAATCACAATCAGAAGAAGCAGCTGGCATGTTGTCACTGCACTTTGCCAAGCAAAACCCAATCAAACAATTCGGATATAATTGCAACCTGGATTCGATGATGATGAGTACTACTAAACTCAGTGACAAGAAGGTTGAAGGAAAAGCTCTAAAAAAACAATTGAAAGGAAACGAATGATTCAAATTATTTCATTTTACTTTTTAACGATTTGATTTCATCTTAAAGTATAATGTCTTTTTCAAATATTTAACCTAAACCTGTTTCACGATGTATAAAAATGATTTGATACCAAGGTAAATGTAAGTATTGAACAACTGTCTATCTAAAAAAGGGGATGAAAAATATTAGTATTATTATTAATGCCTGGCTGTCGCTGATATTTGCTCTTCAATTGTGATTTTAGCTAAGATCATTTAAACACAAGTTCAAAGAAGAACGCTCAAGGAAAACCCTGATTTTTCTAACTGACTTTTTAGTCATATGGAGTAGTGTTAGCTTGAAAAGACGATAGTATTCTCAAAAAAAGATATACATTTGAAAGATTTTTAGAATACATTTTAATGTATTCAGCGTAGAGTTTATCAAGCTTTTGAGATGATAAATAGCTTGACTGAAATAATAAATCTCCGCCTGTTAATTGTCTTAAGCTGCTCAAACTGGCAACAGATACACTTTTTTGCCGTTCAGATGTAATTAAATCAGTTTTAATTGATGAAGTTGACTACCATCGAATTTTCAATACATGTAACAGAACCTTGTTTCTGAAGTGTCAAAAGCTGCAGATGCATGAAGTGCAAATACAAGAGTAGTGAGTAGTTTTTCAAAAACCAAGTTGAGAGATAAACATTGATGACTTGCTTGCCACGTAAGACGGTTTCTGTGGAACAAAGTTTTCCTAGTCCGGTGACATTTATCATTTATCAATCAGTTTGTTCGTTTCTAGTCAATTTGTCTGTCGTTTTGCCAGTTGTTGAAGCAATAATTTTCCGTGCGTCCTATTAAAGTATTAAAAAATGAGAGGCCAAAATTTCAGCGTTTGGTTTTCTTTTTGGCACAATAGCAGTTTCCAGTCACTACACGCGCTCTCTTCTAAGGGTTTTTTTTCAAGTTGGGTAGTACTTTTTGCCAGCTGTTCATGAATTACTTGACATGAGGCATAGGCAGCAGATCGCAAGGAAAATTGCGCTTGAAAGATTGTTGCCAACTTGAACTAGTATTGCAAGGTTAATCAGTTTCATTTCTCTCTGCGGATTTTTGTAGTCAAAAGCCAGGTGGAAATTAAAAGTTTTCCTGTATTAGGGTTGCAGTTTTTTGTTTCATTAAATTTGCTGGCTGAAACTGTTCAAGCGCTATGTTCTTAGGGATAGAAGCTTCCTCGTTTCTTTTTTTATCATTGCGGTTATCTTAATAGTCCTTATCTGAGAGCTTGCCATGAACTATTCCTAAAATATGAGCGGAATAACATTTAAGAAACCATGAAAACTTTCAGCTTTGTTTTTTTTTCTAATTAAAAACTGTTCCTGACATATCCAAGGACAGTCAAAACAATCAAGATTTCGATCTGACGCAATCAGTCTTGTTAATATGTATTAATGAGCATATTACTGCATATAACAAAAAGCATGTTTTGAAATAGCTATTTGTTTTAGCCAGAGACTGAGAATGAAAAAGTGAGTCGTGATAGAATTGATTTCCTATCTCGTTGCTATAGTTATTATTAGTTTTACTCATTGTGACTAATTAGTTGTATAGTCGCTTGAATCCTGGATTTTTTGTGTATTTTCAAATCAATCATTTCCGAAGAGTATTATTGTTGGCTGATTAGAAATTAAGAAACTTTTAAACTATCAACCAAGCACCCCTCCCCAATTTATGGTTCAAGAGGGCGGTTTTCTTCAACAATTCAACGGATTTTCTTGATTTGTTTTCGGCATGGATCTGCCCTTGGCATCATGTTCACTCATGTTCAATCAGCTTTTAGGTATTCTTTTTGCTATTATTATTATTATTATGTTGTGACTAAGCTTGTTCAATTTGTTTTTAAAATGCTTCATCTTTTTTCTTCCTGTTCAGATGAAGTTGTGGGCTGTATTGGAGACGGACATGCAGCGATGGAACGTGTCTGTGTTTGAGACACAGAAGATGCTGGCGGAGCTGGGCAAAGACAGGTTCCTGGAGGTCTACCAGAGCTTCAAGATCTGTGACGTGGACGAGAGTGGATCCATCACAGTTGAGGAGTTCTACGAGGCCATGTGCAATCTGGGATGCACTCCCAACAAACACAAGATCACAAACATGCTCAAGAAAGCCGACAAAAATGGTACCTATTTTTAACCTGCTCCACCTCAAATAAGATTAATCTGGTTTATTCGCTCGGGAAAGGGCCAACATACGAGCTGTTCAGCTCTCCACGGAGAACCGCTGTTGTGTCCCTGTTTAAGATCTAGAAGTTCAAGATCTACTGATAGTCTTGTAGTTGTTTTTCTGGGCTGGGTAATGTTGCCTCACCCTCAAGCAATGAGCATGGATCATGCAGGTCCTCGAACATCTGACCTTCCTATTGAAAGGCAGAGCCAGAGAGGTAACCACTTCACCAGTGCTTACCTTAAAAAAAAACAAATTTTCTGGATATCAAAAAGCACTTTCACATTAATCAAAAAAGTTATTGTTTTCAAATAAACAATGAACGCAATGACCTGCTCAAAAAAAGACAGCGTAAGCTGTGAATGTCTTTTAACGATTTTTATTGGATATAAAATTCGTTTCTTTTGTTCATGACTAAAAATGAAGGAGTAATTTCTATAAAGCAAAAAAGTTTCATTCTAAAACTATCTTGGCAAATTCTGGAAATTGGAGATTAAAACTAAAATATCTCCTCAACATCTATATGGTATCTACTAAAGAACGCTCTCTAAATTAAAACAGCAATCATCGCAATATAAAAAAGGCATTGTTTGTGCCTTAAAGTTCATTTCTATTGGTGTATGTAATTACTGAGGACCGTCCTATTAGCATATGTGTCGATAAGCATGGCCCTGTAAAAGAATTTAGCTTAAAGATTCGCTACTTAAACTTTTTTCTAATTCACATTTGCTGTTTGGAACAGCTAGCACTATAAACTCCTATAAATATCAAGAAGTTTTCGAAATAAATTTAAAATTTAGACTAATTTTATTTTGTTTGAAAGCACACCCATTTAAATTAAATAATTGCATGCTAATAGGCACACATGCTAATCGCTACGCTCCAGCAATAACGATTGCAATTTTAAGCTATTTCTGAGAATTCTGTAATTAATTGACTAGTGTCCGGTAAATAACATGACAGTTGTTCAGATTTGAACCATTTTTGACTAGACTTTAAGACAAAAAATTACTCCTTTTCTACTACATGCATTGCTAAGAAACTGAAAAAGGTAACAACAGTTTTCCAAATTCATTTCTTAGAAAAAAAAACACTGCAATTCAATCAATCAAGTCGGCGTTTCGTCTATGCTCAATAACTATAATGCTGATTTAATTTACTTGGACAAAACGAACAAGACTGCTCGTATTCCGACTGTCTTTTAAGGTCTATGGAGCAAAAAAGACATGAATAAATTATAAGTAATAAAATAAAAGGGAAAAACATTAAAACTTGGGATTTTTCTTGAAAATCATCCCCCCACACGCCAAGTGAAGTACAAACTGATAAATTTCGCTCCTAGTAACATATTGCTTATGACAAACAAGCTTCCTTCAACACATTTCGAACCGTTTCTGAGACAGGTTAAATCTCCGCTTGTGCGTTAATAGCGCGAAATTGGCCCAAATTGTCCCAAATTGGCCAAAATGGCAATCTTTAAACCCCATTAAAAATACAAAAAAGAGCACATGTGAAATTTCTTTCAAAACCTAATCTGAGGAAAACGATACCTTTGAATGATATTGTCAAAAATTGCTTGTTAAAAAGTCGAAATTTGTCTGAAGAATAAAAAATCCACCTTGAATACAAATATTCCGTAAATTTCGTTACTAAAGTCGGATCAATGAAGATTGAAATGTTAAACATGTTTTTATTTCAAATTGAGTTGGCTAAAGACACAAAAAAACCGATGATGACAAAACTTGCTGAAAATTTCAGCAGATTTATTATGTGGAATTTGTTTTGCAAGTTCGGGTCTAAAATGTTAACCCAAAAACGATTGCTCGTCAACCAAATCAGTTTCTAATAAAAACGACACTAAATTAAGCCTGTCTTGTGATCGAACAAAATTTGAGAAAAGTATAATTATTCAAACTTAGTATAAAATGAATTTATTTTTGTTTGATAGCCAAAAAGTTTCAGTTTTACTGAATAAAACACTAATTTTTGTTTTGAAAACATTCTAAAAACGTTTTACTCAAAATTTTAGAGAACAACTTTCTCCCAAATTTTGTTCGGTTACATAAGAGGCTATATTCACCAGACTTTGTTCGACTTTGTTCAACTGTACCGGATGTCGATAGTCTTTGCTTGATTTTAATTGACTATCACATAATATGAATTCTCTAAAATCAAAAAAATTTTCAAGTCTTTATTGCAACGTTTTTAATTAGTATCAGACAAATCAGTTTTAAAATGTCACTGAAAGATACTTACAAAAAAATTAAACGGACACGGTTCGACCTTTTCCGTTGGATCTTGAATCAAGCACCTCAGCTTGGGAAATTGATGATAAAAAATTGATTTTTGAAATCTTGCATTAATCAATGATTTTGCTTACATTAGTAGACTATCAACTATAAAGATTACCAAAAGATTGATGTTTGTAAAAATTTTTCTGAAAAATAATGTTATTAACCATAGAGCTCTTACATATCAAATTTTTTTTGGGATTCCAGGAAAAAATCAGCAAAACTTATGGTTCCTCATTGTAACACTTGTTTTTTGCTATATCATTAGTGTTCCGACCATTGAAAATGGGGAGAAGCTTTGTATTCGGGTGTGTATTTTTTTTTACTTTCAACGCAGAATCAGGTACCGCAAATAATCATCGGAATGAGTCGAGTGATAAATCATATAAAACCCTTTCAGCCGTGATGCGAACGACATTAGAAAGTTTTCAAAAAACTTTCTCATCGTTGAGAGAACCCGTTTAAAAATTCTCATATTTTATTTTCTGGGCTGGGTAATGTTGCCTCACCCTCAAGCAATGAGCATGGATCATGCAGGTCCTCGAACATCTGACCTTCCTATTGAAAGGCAGAGCCAGAGAGGTAACCACTTCACCAGTGCTTACCTTAAAAAAAAACAAATTTTCTGGATATCAAAAAGCACTTTCACATTAATCAAAAAAGTTATTGTTTTCAAATAAACAATGAACGCAATGACCTGCTCAAAAAAAGACAGCGTAAGCTGTGAATGTCTTTTAACGATTTTTATTGGATATAAAATTCGTTTCTTTTGTTCATGACTAAAAATGAAGGAGTAATTTCTATAAAGCAAAAAACTTTCATTCTAAAACTATCTTGGCAAATTCTGGAAATTGGAGATGAAAACTAAAATATCTCCTCAACATCTATATGGTATCTACTAAAGAACGCTCTCTAAATTAAAACAGCAATCATCGCAATATAAAAAAGGCATTGTTTGTGCCTTAAAGTTCATTTCTATTGGTGTATGTAATTACTGAGTACCGTCCTATTAGCATATGTGTCGATAAGCATGGCCCTGTAAAAGAATTTAGCTTAAAGATTCGCTACTTAAACTTTTTTCTAATTCACTTTTGCTGTTTGGAACAGCTAGCACTATAAACTCCTATAAATATCAAGAAGTGTTCGAAATAAATTTAAAATTTAGACTAATTTTATTTTGTTTGAAAGCACACCCATTTAAATTAAATAATTGCATGCTAATAGGCACACATGCTAATCGCTACGCTCCAGCAATAACGATTGCAATTTTAAGCTATTTCTGAGAATTCTGTAATTAATTGACTAGTGTCCGGTAAATAACATGACAGTTGTTCAGATTTGAACCATTTTTGACTAGACTTTAAGACAAAAAATTACTCCTTTTCTACTACATGCATTGCTAAGAAACTGAAAAAGGTAACAACAGTTTTCCAAATTCATTTCTTAGAAAAAAAAACACTGCAATTCAATCAATCAAGTCGGCGTTTCGTCTATGCTCAATAACTATAATGCTGATTTAATTTACTTGGACAAAACGAACAAGACTGCTCGTATTCCGACTGTCTTTTAAGGTCTATGGAGCAAAAAAGACATGAATAAATTATAAGTAATAAAATAAAAGGGAAAAACATTAAAACTTGGGATTTTTCTTGAAAATCATCCCCCCACACGCCAAGTGAAGTACAAACTGATAAATTTCGCTCCTAGTAACATATTGCTTATGACAAACAAGCTTCCTTCAACACATTTCGAACCATTTCTGAGACAGGTTAAATCTCCGCTTGTGCGTTAATAGCGCGAAATTGGCCCAAATTGTCCCAAATTGGCCAAAATGGCAATCTTTAAACCCCATTAAAAATACAAAAAAGAGCACATGTGAAATTTCTTTCAAAACCTAATCTGAGGAAAACGATACCTTTGAATGATATTGTCAAAAATTGCTTGTTAAAAAGTCGAAATTTGTCTGAAGAATAAAAAATCCACCTTGAATACAAATATTCCGTAAATTTCGTTACTAAAGTCGGATCAATGAAGATTGAAATGTTAAACATGTTTTTATTTCAAATTGAGTTGGCTAAAGACACAAAAAAACCGATGATGACAAAACTTGCTGAAAATTTCAGCAGATTTATTATGTGGAATTTGTTTTGCAAGTTCGGGTCTAAAATGTTAACCCAAAAACGATTGCTCGTCAACCAAATCAGTTTCTAATAAAAACGACACTAAATTAAGCCTGTCTTGTGATCGAACAAAATTTGAGAAAAGTATAATTATTCAAACTTAGTATAAAATGAATTTATTTTTGTTTGATAGCCAAAAAGTTTCAGTTTTACTGAATAAAACACTAATTTTTGTTTTGAAAACATTCTAAAAACGTTTTACTCAAAATTTTAGAGAACAACTTTCTCCCAAATTTTGTTCGGTTACATAAGAGGCTATATTCACCAGACTTTGTTCGACTTTGTTCAACTGTACCGGATGTCGATAGTCTTTGCTTGATTTTAATTGACTATCACATAATATGAATTCTCTAAAATCAAAAAAATTTTCAAGTCTTTATTGCAACGTTTTTAATTAGTATCAGACAAATCAGTTTTAAAATGTCACTGAAAGATACTTACAAAAAAATTAAACGGACACGGTTCGACCTTTTCCGTTGGATCTTGAATCAAGCACCTCAGCTTGGGAAATTGATGATAAAAAATTGATTTTTGAAATCTTGCATTAATCAATGATTTTGCTTACATTAGTAGACTATCAACTATAAAGATTACCAAAAGATTGATGTTTGTAAAAATTTTTCTGAAAAATAATGTTATTAACCATAGAGCTCTTACATATCAAATTTTTTTTGGGATTCCAGGAAAAAATCAGCAAAACTTATGGTTCCTCATTGTAACACTTGTTTTTTGCTATATCATTAGTGTTCCGACCATTGAAAATGGGGAGAAGCTTTGTATTCGGGTGTGTATTTTTTTTTACTTTCAACGCAGAATCAGGTACCGCAAATAATCATCGGAATGAGTCGAGTGATAAATCATATAAAACCCTTTCAGCCGTGATGCGAACGACATTAGAAAGTTTTCAAAAAACTTTCTCATCGTTGAGAGAACCCGTTTAAAAATTCTCATATATTATTGTAAAGCCGTTTCAGCCATGATTCGAAAAATTGTTGCCTTAGTGTCGAGAAAAACTGGCCTCAAAATTTTTAGTTCAATTTCGAGCCAGTAAAGCGAGCGAGCAAGCTCATTTTAATAGGATGAAAACGACACTATTTTAGAAAAAAATCGTCGGAACATTGTGCTGTTTTATATTGAAACTATTTTTTAAATCCTGATCAGTTCTTTTGGATCTATGAATGGACCCTGTTTGAATATCGTTGACATTCTTTGAATCCTCATTGGAGCCTCCTAGACCCATAATTTGGCTTCTACTACATGCATTGATTGAAGCCTTCGTTTAACCGCCTCAGAATGGGTCAAAAATCGAACATAGGTTGACCAGTTTGATTCAATCATGAGTATATAGAACCTCAAACCCCTCAATTTGACCAAAAACATTAGGTTTAAATCCATTTTTTTTGAAATCAGATTAAACGATGGGTCAATTACCGATCTTGTTTTTCAAAACGTAGTTTTTATTTGTATTGAAGGGAACTCGGAGGTTGAGTTTGGGGAGTACGTGTTTCTGTTCCGCAAGTATGAACAGCAGATGACGAGGGCCTTCAATGACCTCAAATACGCGTTCGAGATAATGGACGGGGACGGCAACGGCTATGTCACCATCGACGAACTCAAGTGAGAATCTTTCACCACAAATTCTCGTTTCAAATTATTCAAAATTAAAACAGAATATTTTTTTATTTAAATAGCCGCAAAAGAAACTTTTGTCAAATACTAGTGAAAGTATTGAAATCTTGTAGAAGCATAAAATATATTTATATAGACTACCAGGTTTTTCCGAGCTTTTCCTAAACTACAAAGGACCCTTTGTGCCAAAAACATTATAGCGGCAAGCTTTTTGGCGAATGAGCCCAGTCAGCCTCGAACCATCGCTCTCTGGATTACGACCAGGCGGAGTTATTCTTAGTTACCACTCCGCCTTAGATTTGTTTTCTTTTTCAAGGGACGCTATGGTTAAGTTTGGCCAGCCGATGGCGGAAGCGGAGTTGGAGCGACTGGTGCAGACGGCCGACGCCAACAAGGACGGCAAAATAGACTACGTCGAGTTCGCCCGACTTCTCCTGGAACAGAGCAGTTCCTCTAACTGCTCCAGATAAATCGAAGTAGTGACTCATTCGGATGTCAATAGCCGGACATCAAATGAATACATTATGAATCACGAAGTCTAATTTTAGAATTCTAATTGTCAAATGTTTCAATTTTTATTCCCTGTTCGACTTGGAGTACCGTGTGCTTGATGCACGGAACACAAATCACTCATGTTTTGTGTTTCCTTATTAATAATTTATATCGCTGATGAAACTTTATGCATCGATGGTCTATGCGCATAATTATTGTCTTAGAAAATTTTGCGTTTTTAAAATTTTTTTTAGACGGACGAGATAATTTTTTGAAATCTAAACGAATATCATATAGAACCTTATTGAAACGAGATTTGAATAGCATGAAAAGTTTGGGCAAAAGAGTTTCTGCTGATTTAAAAGTACACGTTTTTTACTCATGACGCCTTGGTTTTCTTTTTTTGGTGGCTTCTCTTAAAGTTTTAATAAATTCAGGCAACAATTTCATAGTTTTCGAAAATCAAAGATTTAGAAAAAACAGTTAATTCGGATCAACAGTACAATTCGGCTTAACCGCATTTCAATAAATTTGGTTGTGCGCGTTTTTCCACAGTTTTTATGTGGAATGCCATTCGAATGCGCGTTAATTACCTAAAATAATGTGTTGAAAATCAATTTTTTCTTTAAAAAATATTTAAATTTTTATAAACATAAGGTATACTCAAAATTATTTCCTGAAAAATTCGAATTTTTTCCTCACTAAACCAAATGGGGGGGAGGGGGAGGGGGGTTGTACGGTTCATCTGATAGTTCAACTCGCAAAAATCTTTGGTATGTCACAAAACCATGCAATGTACATTCGTATAATTTATAGTATTTTGTATGTTACAGATAAAGAAAACTGATAAACTTAAATCTAAATAGAAATTGACTATTTTGATGAAACAATTTTGTTATGAATTATGAGAAATTCAGGATCTTACAAACATATAGTCTGAGTTGAAGGCTGTGATTCGGTCGACGCCCTCTGAGATGAACAAACTTAAATCGATGGGCTCTCACAAAACTAAGACCACTTTACGCGTGATAGTTAAACTGATTCAGTTTCAGAGTTTGTTTTCATACTTTTATTCTTCTGCATCGGCAATATAATTTTTCAGCCTGTCGATTTTGTCAAAATCTTTTCAAACTCCGTCCTTTCTATCAGAACGGGGGTGTTGCGACATGCATGCGTGCAGGTTAGCGTGCGAAATAAACATAACAAAACTGATCGTTTACCAGGGCAAAGCCCTGGAACGTTCCGACTGTCCCTTATTTCGTATCGAATAGTTTTGGGAAAAGAAAATATTGAAAGTGTAAAATTTGGAGTCGTACGGAATGAATACGACCGATTAGCCAGCCTCAATTCAATTTGGTACGATTTTGTTGTGCGGGATAATTCGAGTTACGCTCTCAGCATCATGAATAGACTCTTCAAAGCGCGCATAATTTAGTCCAGAACATGTCCAATTAGGCAATTTTAAAACCCCAAGAACTTGAGAAAAAAAATTGAAGGTAAAATATCGTTTTAAAAATGAACTCAGAAAATCGATACCTTCAATGGAAACTATTATTTCTATTATTTCTGGAAACTTTTATTTCGATCGGCAAAAACCACACCGAGCATAAATATTCCGTTTTTTTTTCTAAAGTCGGAACAATTACTCACTCAGTTTGAGTTGTAGTTGCAAACTTTAGAAAACTTGTTCAACACCAATTGTGCTAAATAGCTGCATGCTAATTAGCGGCACGCATTGCAAGCTCCCCCCGTTTTAAATTTAATGAACACAGTCAAGCTTCTTGACAAGAATTCTGTAAGTTAAAAAGAACTATCTACGTTACTTTACCTTGTTTTAACTGCGATTGGTAATCGAAAAGTAAAAAAACAAGACTGCTTGCTCGTATATCAGGGCTAAGCCTTGAATGTTCCGACTACCCCTTGATCGGTATCAAATACTTGTTGCTTGGCGAAGAATTTATTTTAATACCATAAACTCTGGACAAATCATCATGAGTGCAATTGATTAATGTGAACGATTAGCTTGTCTGTGCGGGATAATTTGCCGCGCATAAATAAATTGCGTTTGACTTTTGCCATCATAATTAAAGTCTTCACAGCGCACATGAGTTAGTTCAGAGCATGGCCAAATTGGCCATTTTCAGACCCTGAGAACTTCACAAAAAAATTTTGACAGCAAAATATCTTTTAACATTTGACCTTAGAGAGTTTATATCTTCATTAGGTTATCAAAAATTTTCGTGGAAAACTAATATTTCAATTGACGAAAATTGACTAAATGAAAGAACAGTTTAAGCATAAAAATTGCAAATTTCTTCAAAAATCGGGACACTTAGGCTTACTGTTTTTGCTCCTTGTGCATGCTAGTCACGTTTCGCATGAAATAAAACTTTCGTTTAAAAAAAATTTTGCGTTAAGGACGCAACACTGAATTCAAGGTGTATAATCATCAAACCGCCATGTCTACAAATCTTCATATCTTTACATCAGAATTACTTAACAATTGCATAACAACAATGACAGTTTCTTGTTATGTTGCATAACAATGTTAAGTTTAGGCTTGTTGGAACGGTAATCTGATTTTCGGCTTGTTGGCTAAAAATTAAGTTGGCTACCACTGAATTCAATCACTTGGCATCAATTCTTTTTGCAGAGCCAGCTCATTTTCTAGAAAACTTGGGCAGTTATAAATGCTTGAGTATCTATCAATCAATTCTCTGTTCACAAATTTTGCTGGTAGCACTTGAAATCTGAATAAAAAAGAGTTCAAATACTCTTTGGATATTATAAAAATCAAAAGTTGGCAAAGGCAGAATCCACTAAGGGACCTAAACATAGGAAAAAAGGGGGTACATGTTTTGCACATTTTGAATTGGTTAAAAAAGTTTCGAGCAGTTGATCCTTGTATAACTTTTGAGCGTTAACTAGGATTGAAAGGTAATTGGTTCTTGTTTAATAAGAGTTCACTTCTTTTTAGACTTGCGGGGAATAAAGGATTCTTCTCTTTATAAGTAGTTGACCATCCTGTAGGGTTTAAGATAAGTTGGCCTTTAAGAGCTAAGAGTAACCAATGAAAAAACTAAAGTAAAATCGACTAAAAAATTTAATGAACCCCAAGTTGACGTCTCTTCAAGAAAATCCAGAGTAAAACCATTAATTTGCAATAACTGGAGAAAAAACACTTGTTTATCAAGAGTTTTAGAGAAGGTTGACTTATATATGAACGAAAAATTAAATTATTTTTGCTAAGTAGATTTTTTGCTTCGTGTTCAAAGACTTTCAAGATTTTGAACTTTTTGCTTTTCATCATCTGCTTTCCAGTTCGGGAAACCAATTTGCAAGAAAGCCGACACTATGTTCAAATTGTTTGTTTTCTTCAAAATGTCTTTCTCGAGAATTTCTGCGCATGTGTCACTGGCTTTTCTCTATCCAGTTTTGGGGATATGAATAGCTTAATGAACAGCTACCATAACTTATTGATTGATTTTTTCGAGTTTGATGTGAAAAAGTTTGCTTTCGTATTATTGGAATGGTTATTTTTCAAACCGTTGTTGTTAAATTGGGGGTTAATATTAACAGCTAAAAAAGCCATCGTCAACGCTTTCAATTAAATTTATCTTTTAAGCATTTTTTCAAAGTTATTCGAAAGTTTCAGCGTTTTTCGTCTTTTCGTCTTCATATTCATCTTAGTAAATTGCTCAAATTCAAAAATTAATCGCTTCTGTTCAAAAAGAAGTTTTGAGCGCACATTAAACAATTTTTTTATCGCACTACATCGAAAAAATTGTACTTGAAGCGCTTCGATTCTTCAACCTTTAAGTGTTTGGCAGATCGAATGAAATGTTTCTCACTTGTTTATTGGTTGAAGAAATGTACAGTTATCGTTCCACAAGGATTTAATTTTGGAGTTTATCTTTCCAAACTACTGAGAGCGATGGTAAGAATTTTTAAAAATCAATGGTCTCTCCACTCGCATGACACATCTTTTCTTATAGCAACCTAAATCAAACAAACTGTGGCGGGTCTAGTATCTTTTTGAGGGAGAGAAAGATTTTCAAAAAAAATGACAAAATTTACGGTCAATTTTCTCGTAGGTTCACCAAACATTCATTCAGTGTTAGAAAACATAATTATGAAGACCATTTTAAGAAAATCATTTTCAGTGCCGCATATAACTTTGTGAAAAAAAACATCCCTAAAAAATTCTCGAAAAATATGATAGAAAAACTCCAATTTGCAAATCGCTCTCAGAGTCAGGTGCGGAACTAGGATTTTCTCGAGAGGGGGGCGGGTTTTCAAGAAATTCTCCCAAAGCATTAAAAAGACCCTGTTTTGCTCCCCCCTCAAAATTAATATATATTAGGCGCCGTTGAAATGGCCTGGAGTCGCCCAAAAAAATAACTCAGTCTGGTGTGTGGGGAAATAAGAGAAGCGGACTATGCTTAGACAGGCTAGATAGCCTTTCATAGATCCTCTGCGAATCGCAGAATCCACAATTATTATTATTAGTATATTTTGACTCTGAAGGCAGAAAGTTTTAGGGTCCGTCACTATATATTGATATCTCAAAAAAGTACGAAGAGGGGACATTTTGGGCTCTTTTTCCGTTTCCCGCCACCTGTAATTTTTTACTAGTAGAGTTACTGTTCACGTTGTCCGATTGTTATAAAAATTGACATGCGGACTAATTAGGCTGTGCCAAATATATTCGGAGTTCATAATTAACCTTGTAAAATTACTCGTTACACCATAAAAATTGATGGTCGTGTGAGGTGGGGGGGGGGGGGGGAGGAGGAAAAAGAGCCACATTTTGGATCAGGAGGGGTTCGATACCCTGAGGGGGAAGGATACGTCCCCACTATTTTGGATCAGGAGGGGTTCGATACCCTGAGGGGGAAGGATACGTCCCCCCACTAAATCCGCCACTGCTCAGAGTTAATATATACCTTCTAAAGCGGCGTTACAAAAGTTTCGTGCCTGTTGGTAGAAAACGAATGTAATGCAGTGTTTTTATGCGTAATAAATATCGCAAACATTATTGGTGTCAGAATACATAGATTAACTACGTTGTAAGTATGCGCCTCATAAGTATAATAGTATGAAATACAATTACAAAAACATCAATTACGCAATTGTTCGGGCGGGTGCGGTTATAATATTTGGTTAACATATTTTTTAACAAACAGCGCTAGGACGTACAATTTTTGTTAGTGTCCATTTTAAAGAAAAAAACAATAGGGGTTTTCTTGAGTTAGTGCTCCCCCCCCACCTACCCTCACCCACCCCCAAGCCTAGTCCCCCGTAAACCTCCCTCCCCCGCCTTCCCCCTCCCATCGCCTAGCCCCTCACTTAGCCTACCCCCACCTACCGCACCCACCGCACCCACCGCTCACCTACTCCATCCCACCTGCCTTCACACCCCACCATCTACCCCCTCGTAAGTTGGGGGAGGGGGGTGTACGGTCTGCGGGGGGGGGGGGGGGGGGTATGGCGTAAAGTGTGTGGGGGAGGGGTAGATGGAAGTGGCACGCGTTTACGGTATTTAATACGTATTCTTACGGTAATTGTATGTCAAAGAGAAACAAGTGAAAAGCAATTCATCTTTTAGCTGTAGCCTAAAAAAGTGTTTAGCATTGCAGCGTTAAATTTTTTAATAGTTACTTTCAACCTATTGAAAACTCCAGTTATAAGGTGAAATCTCCGTTATAAGGCAACAAAGTGATTTCTTTTCATTTGCTTTATAATTGATTATTAATCCATTAGGATCAATTATTTTAGTTTTTTGAGACAGACCATAAAAATCCATGATATCAATTATTATCTAAAGAACTCCATTGCGCTAGTATTTTTTTGTACCAATAGTTTAAGATTTATGAGATATACCTGAGTTGCAGCGCAATCTGAACCCAGGGTTCAATTTCCAGTCTTGATTTGAGCTCCAAATAAGCTCCTGTTTGCTTTTGACACTGATTTAGAGCAAAGAGAGCGTTCATTGAACGTTCGTCGATATGTCACTAACTTGAAATAATGAAAAAAATTATTAGTGTTTCACGTTTTCAAGTTTTTTTTGACAGTAAACTTTGAACCCAAGTCAAAATACGCTGATGACTCTCCAGAACGAAATTTCCTAATGGCATGCTAGTAAAACATTTCCCATGCGGCATATATTTTATGTTTTCATTAAAACTCAAATGCTTTCTCCCAACAATTATGTTTTCTTTTTGTCAGGAACGAAAAATTGTGATATATGTTTCGAACTAATTGTTTCGAAGGAAACGTTAAGTGCCAATTTTGCCTGAAAAATTCATTGTAGGAAATTTTGAGGAAACAGTCGGCCTATGATTTAAATAAGAATTTAAGAGAAAATTTTTCTAACGATAAAACATCGACCTTATCAACTACTTTTCACATACTATTTCAACATAAACTCTCGAAAAAAAAATCAATGTAATTGTTTCCTAGAGCTTTTGAGAAAAACTTGGCATTTGAGAAAAACTTCATTTTCAAACCATGAGAGATTGTTATATTTAAGACTCAATCCAAAAAGTTACCTGAAGCTTCACTTATCTAAATAATACCAGTGACTGCTGTTTAAAACAAGTGCTCTTGGTAATATAATTTCACAACAAAAAATATATGGCATTATTAGATTATTAGTTTGACAATGCTTATTTGCACACACTTGGAAAAATATTTGAGTTTCAAATCGTTGTAGAATTAAGAGATCCTGCATTCGTTTTCACGCTCACGTTTGACAATTTTTTCCTTCTCGGCGCTACAGTAGGACCCATCATCGAATACCTTTGTATAGTGTCGGCTATGTTTCCGAAGTCGGCGTCGTTGCTATTCGTCTTGGCGCCCTCACTCTTGTAGTAGTAAGTGAAGTTTGACACTATTATTGGCACAGGGAGCGAGAGGGTCAGTATGCCGACGAGTGCACAGGCCGACCCGACCAGTTTGCCGGTAACTGTCTGTGGAATCATGTCCCCATAGCCAACTGTGCTCATGGTCACTATGGCCCACCAGAAGCCAGCCGGAATGCTCTTGAACTCATTCCACTCGCCTTCCTGCAATCATGTAATTGATCCAGAGTGGATGCGGGGCAAAGGGGACGCACCCACCCCCCTTAGGAAATCGACACCCTCACAATCCAAAGTCCCTCCATTGCTTTTCTTTTGACTGACCAAATTAAAAGCTTGTCGGAAGTCGTTTTTTATCTCTAGTTTTTGCTAATTTTATATGGAAGGAAGTGCTCCATACCTCCAAAAAAGTGCTCAAAAAGTGCCGATATGGTGGCGGGACGCCGCCCTCCTCACGGTTTCGATCCCTTATCAACTAGAGGGCCACCTTTGGCATTATTTTATGATATCCAAGATATGTTTTGACCAACCCCGAAAGTTTTCTAAAAGCGCCTTATATACTACTTATGAAAGGGAGAACGCGCCAAAAAACGAAATTTTTGGTCAAAATCTTCTAAAAATGCCCTAAAAACGGTATTTTGTTATGCTATTCAAAACATTTGTCTGCAACTCCGCCGACCCTCGAGAAAATCCTATATCAACCCCTGAATAAACGCAATCAAAAATCTGCAAATAACAAATGGATGTGAAAAACTCAAAAACAAATTAGCAATGTAGCAACAAATTTTGCCATAAATTGATGAAAAATGATTGAAACTGATTAGAAGTGAATAAAAAACAAATTCTGCAGGGGAGTTTCATGGATAATGAGTTTCATGGATAATAAATCATGATTATATTGTCACTTTAAAGCCATTGTCCATTGAATTACAAAAATAAACGATTATACTCCATTTTGCAAGTTGTTTAGTGCAAATGCTACTGATTACATTTCATAAAATTTTACTTATCACAAGCGCAAATTTCTGATCCAAAAGTTACAATTCAATTCAATAATTCGATACAGTGAAGAAATACATACGTAATCACTTACTGCATCAGGATAGCTAGAACAGGCTTTTCAACCTAACAAGTAGCTACCCTCCGGGATAACTATCACAATTAAAAAACGACAACGGGTAAGCAAATCAGAAAAAACTGTCGACCAGCTGTTCATTGTCTAAAATGTAATTTTTTTTGAAAACCTTTAAAAATTTTGATAGCTGTTCTTGAGAGTACGTTTCGATCTTATCGGGTAGGAGTTTATTTGACATCAAAAAATTGAAACATTTAATAATTTTGCATGAAAGAGAGTTTTCCATAGTTTTTGTCCTACAGCAAAAAAATGGAATCATTCCGTAAGAAGTAGAACGTGTATTTCGTTTATTACTGTAATTACTGACGTTTAGAAAATCAAGAGGTGAACGTTTTAAATATTGAAAAATGGTTTCTTTAAAAAGTTTAGTTAAATAAATTTCATGAAAAGAATTCTTTTTTGGCAGATATAAATTTTTTCTAATTTTGTTTTGCAAGTACTCCCATAGACAAGCAGACCATATGAAATTATAGGTACCACATATGCTAGGTAGAACTTTAACAGCATTTTTCGAGAAAAAGCTACCCTGCGCTTATACATAATTCTGTTAAATCGGCCTAGTTTTCTGCACACAGTTTCAACATGATCTGTAAATTTGAGCTGACTATCAATGATAACACCCAAGTATTTGAAACAATTCGTAAATTCTATGTTTTCACCCGCAAGTGAGAAGTCATATCCAAACATTGTTTACCGAATGGTAAGATTTTACATTTTATAGAGCTTATCGACGATTTATTTCGCACACACCAGTCATCTGTTTTCAGTAAATCATTTTTAAAGTAGTCATTTACCCTTGCCGTTGGGAAAGAAGCAAGAATAGCAGTGTCGTCCGCAAAAAGACTTAATTCCGATTTCGAAACCATTTTATTTATGTCGTTAATGTAAAGTAAGAAAAAAAGGGGTCCAAGAACAGAGCCCCGCGGAACTCCGTACGATATTACTTGTTGCCTAGAAGTACCATTCGAATTAACAACAAATTGTTGTCGGTTTGTCAAATAACTTAATATCAATTTGTTGAATTTTCCTCGAAAGCCGTACGCGCATAATTTTTCCAGAAGAATGCAATGGTTAACTGTACGAAATGCTTTTCTTAGATCAATAAAAAGTGCCAAGCCCATATTTTTGTCTCAATCGTTTTTCGCATGAGTTCAGTAACTCGTAGGATAGCATGGACACAAGAATGTTTTTCGCGGAAACCAAACTGTTCCGGTATTATAATATTGTTTTTGTTAATGAAAACAAGCATTCTTTAATATATTAATTTTTCAAAAATTTTACTGAAAACTGTCATAAGACTATTAGGTCGATAAATACTGGGATTTTCTCTGTCTCCTTCTTTCAGAAAAGCGAAAATTTTTGCAATTTTACAAGCATCTGGAAAATATGCACTATCAATACATATATTAAAACTATTTGCCAGGAAAACAGATATGACTGGTGAACAAAATTTAATCATTTTAGTTGAAAGATCATCATGACCACTTGAAGTTTTAGTTTTTAAGGCCCCTATTACTTTGAAAACTTCATGTTCATCCGTTTTGAAAATTACAAAACTTGATATGTTTCCGTCTAAATTTTGAGAAGCAGAACCAGCAGGTGACAGAGAATTGCTCAGTTGCTTACCAATATTGACGAAGAAATCATTAAGTGATTTTGGTTCAATCTCTTTTTGGGCTGGTTTTAATTTTCCACAAAAAAGATTAAAAGCTTGAAACATTTGTTTTGTTAATGTATATTTTACAATTTTCTTATCATGATAGTCTCTTTGAGCACGCCTAATTGCCATTTTTACCTTATTTCCAAACATTCGGAAGCAATTAATGCTCTCAAGTGAAGGTTTCTTAATCATTTTGGCATGAAGACGATCTCTCTTTTTACACATTTGTATGATATCATTGGTGATCCAGTCCTTGTGTTTTTTCCTTAGTAATGTTTGTTGGGGGCAAAACCGGTCAAAAACAACCAGACATAATTTTGTTAAGTCGGTCAACATGTCATCAATTGTTTCCAAATTGCAATTATTGAAATTTTGAAGCAAAACAATTAAGAATTTCAAAACATTTTCATTTTTGTTCAAAATTTTCTAGTTTCGACCTATTTTAGAATTGTCACTATCGTCCAAAAAAGATCCAATAGACGCAACTAGCGCATAATGATCACTTAAAGAAGTTTTTAAAGTAGTTACGCTCAAATCATATTTACTGATGATATAGAACTAGATTCAGTTTCTCTTGTTGCTTCACTATTTGATATGAAGAATCCAAAAAAATTAATTATCAACTTATGTTCCTCAATTAATCGAGTTTTGCGCGACAGGTCCAGAATATCTAAATTCATATCTCCCACAATGATTGAGTTCTGACATTGTTTTGAATTCAAATTCAAAAGTAAATCCTCTAATTGCGTTAAGAAATGCTTTGAATTGATTGATGGCGGTCGATACATCATACAAACGTTTAATTTCTGTTTACTACCTAGACTTAAAGTTAAGACAACATTCTCTAGTTCATTCGATAAAATTTCGTGCGAAAAGTCAATTTGATCTTCCATGAAAAATGCTAAACCCCCACCCCTACTTTTTTGCCGGTTAACAAAAATACCTTTTTGGTAGCCGTCTAAGTTATTAAGCTCCAAGGGATCATTGTCACTTAACCAAGTTTTGCATAAGGCAACGACATATGGTTGCCACTCTAGTGAAGCAACAAGAACTTTTAATTGGTCATGATGGTTGCGCAGTGATTGAATATTTAGGAAAAATATGTCCCCGTCGTTACCCATTAGAAATCCATTTAAAATCAGAAATAAAGCTTTAACACAGAAAAAAAAAGATGTTTTTCTGATATTCAAAACTCTTTTTAATTTTCAGGTTCATTTTTTTTCGCTGCTGCCCATATGATCATCGCTAACAACATCGCCACAGATAAACATTTTCTTAGGACGTGGAGAATGGCTGTCAATGAGTTTTTCCACCAAACAGCATAGTTTATCAAGTTTCCGCTCTTGTATATCATTTTGCGATTCATGACTATCCGGTGATTTAAAAGCCACGTTTCTTTTCCTTTTCCCCGGAGTTCGCGAAAAAGAATAAGATTTTGGATAATGAACATCGTCGGAATCAGCAGCATTTTGAATAACATCCGTATATATTTTTTTGTCAGTAGTTACTCTGATATCATTTCCCATATAAAAAATATCAACATCCTTTTTGTTATCAATTGGTTGCCATCTGCCATATGAATTGTACTTTTTAATCTGGACTTGATTCTTATGAGTAGATGTTAGTAGATTTTTGTCCCGTCTGCAGTAGTTCAAAATTTCCCTATCTTTTACTGCCAATCGTTTGTTGACATGACTTTTATTTCCCGTTAAATCATCCCAAAAATCGAATCTCTAATTCAAAACAGCATCTCGCTGGTGATTATACAAAAATTTGGCAATAATCGGACGATTTCGACCCTTCCCTGGTAAATAATGACACGCGACGATGTCCTGGGGCTGAATTGAAATATTTACTGACCTTAGTATCTTCACAGTTGAATGGACAGGGTACTAACTTTCAAGTGTTCAATTAGCTGTAAACAATTTATTTTCTGCAAAAAAAGTCAAATTTAATGGATTTTTGTGGACTAACAAATCGATTATTTTGTCAAATTTTCGATTAAAATGGATTTTAAAATATTGAGAACCATCGACTATATTATCCTAAAAATCCATTTTCATCGTTGGAGAGTCATGAAAATCGATTATATGGGTTGTGCTTTTTGACGATATAATCCATTATAATCGATTCTTTTCCATGAAGCTCCGGTGCTGTTAGCTATCAATTGATTTTGCTTTTGCACTTTGACAGATAATCCGATGAAGAATACTCTACAAAGTGATATCAAGTGTTCATTTAGCCGACGAATATGATCGATTATAGTTATCGAAAAATGGAGTTTTGTGAAGAAAAATTTAAATTATAATGGATGAAAAATGGATTATAATGGATTATTTTGGTATGAAAAAAATGCATTATATTCTTTTAAAATTGGATTTAAGTTTTGAAACTGCCAACTATAATCGATTTGTCTAACATTTTCGACACTAAAAATCCATTATAACTGATTATTATCAATGAAACTCCAGTGCGGGCTAGTAATTGATGCCGCAACACGAGAAAAAGTTAGTTTAGAATCAATTTAGATTTCAGTTAAATCAATCAATTTTGCTTTAATACAAAGTCGGTTCAAATGAGTTTAAAATGGACTTAATTTTGTGGTTTTTGATTTCAAACTAATAATAAACCATTTTGTCAGTGCGGGTTGTAAAAAAAGTAAAGCGCAGAAAAATTTGTGAATAATTTGTCTGACTGATGTGGTGACCAGTGGCTGGCAAGGGGTGCTTTTTTCCCTTCCCCCTCCCCCCACCTCACACAGGCATCAATTTTTTGGTAAAACGAGAGATTTTACGAGGTTGTTTATGCAGGCCAAATTTGTTTGTCATGGCCTAATTAGTCTGTAAGCCAATTTTTGTAACAATCTGAGAATGCGATCAACAAATTTGCTGGTAAAGATTTGCAGGTGCGGAGAAAAAAGAAAAGGAGCCGGCAGGGATTGCGATGCAAGAGGGATTGGGTGTTTTTACTGATTGGGGGATTGGGTTGCAATATTAGCAATCTGGCTGATGAGTAGGGGGGCGGGGGTTGGCTTGACCTGTGGGGTGTAGTCCTGTTCTGCTATGTAGACTGCACTGGAGAAGAGAACGACTGACATGGAGAAGAAGAAGATGAGCAGCCCCAACTCATTCAGACTTGACTTGAATGTGTGGCCCAAAATCTGCAGGTTCTACTCTCAAAAACAACAACAATAACAGAACTAAAAAGTTAATTTTTAAAAATGATTTCGAGACTACATAGTATTAGTTTTCAAGCGGATTCACTTTCCAAAAGTTCGTTTTAGTTTCTGTTTAAAACAATAGCGAGCAGCTATTGTTTTAGACAGAAGTTAAGACCATTTTTTGCAAAAGGTAATGCGTATACAGTATTGGAATTTAAGTCGGGTAGGGGTACGCTTCCTATCAGGGATTCGGCTTCACTCGCCCCATTTGGTATTATTTTATGACATCTTATGTCTTTGATGCCAACCAACACCTAAAAAGAGTCGTCTAAAAGATTTACTTTTTTAAAAAACTCCCCCTGATTATACACGCGAAACTGTGGTTGTTTGTATATACTGTGGCTGGTTGTGAAATACCTTGGAATGTCTGGACAGTTTGAGGATGGGGAATATGCGGACCAGTCTGGATATTCTGAGCATGGAGAGGGGTCTGGCCTTGACACTGTTGTCCACTTTGTCCACTACTCCATACTCCATGAGGAGGAAGAGGTAGAAGGGCACCACTGCCAACAGGTCGAAGATGTTCAACACACTCCTTAGGAACTTCACTTTGTTGGGACAAGTCAGGAACCTGAAGAGAGGCAAAGTATCTGAAGTACTGAATATTCCTGGTTTGGTTTCAATTATATTAATTAGATTAAAGTCATCCAGCAGACATTATCAACGATATTTACAGCTATTTTTCAAATTCAAACAAATTGTCTGACTAGGATTCTTGCTACAAAACCATTAAAAGATGGCCCCTAGATTTGCATTTAACTTGAAACAGGCTCCTCGTATCTCTTTCATTTTGTTATCTAAAAAAAACATCATGAAAAAAAAGTACACGACTTTGAATTGAAAAAGATGAAAATTATGCTCAACATTGAAGCCACCTAAGCGAAAACAGCTCATGGATTATAAGGCAATGACGAACCACAAAACAGTGTCCACGAAAGATGAGGGGTCACATAACGGCGCCAAGCTCGGTTTTATAACTGAATCATTTATTGTCATTGGATTCCGGATACAAACGCAGTCAGTTTTTTGTCGCTGGATTTGAAACAAACTCGACGAATAAAATAACAAATGCTGAAACATTTTAAAAACCAGTTCGTCAAAAAAAAACCATTAGTTGAGGAATTCACTGACAAACAGTGGAATCCAGCAACAGTTCGCTTCAATTTGCTCTAACTGAAAAAACGTATTTGTCTACGGAATCCAAAACAAGCAGTTCTTAGCATGTGTCTCCAATCTACGCATGGAAGTCTAAAATCCGGTTGATCTCGGATTCTCAAGAGAGGTTGAGCCCAAAATTTGGACAAGTTGGCGCTAAATGCGCGTATAGAGAAATTTGATGCCTGTGAAAGTTTGGATTTGTTGCATAATTTCGGCGCAAAGACAATACGGCCGAAGAGAACTCAGCCAATTTGAAATTCAGACAATTCAGCCAAAAGTATACAGAAAATGCAGCCTGAGACAAATCAGCCAATTTTACAAAACGCTAGATTCGAAAGAAAAAATTGGACTTGGATATATTTCTCGGTTTAAGGTCGCTAGTATGCTCTAAGTTTCGTATAGAATCCTACCCTCCTGACAAGCTCGCAACACGCTGGCGCGACTGCGGCGGTCACTATTATTGTCTGAATTGTCTCTGGTTGAATTATCTGCCTACTTCTGGCTGAATCGGCTGAATATTCTTTGGCCGAATTGTCCGGACGCGATATTTTCACCAAACAGAGGGACATTTAATTGGCCAGGGCATCAAACTCCTGATAGAAAAAGAGTCCGTCAAAATCCACCCAAAAATTATAAAAGAAGGGAGCCACCTATGGTTTAGAAATTACTGTGATTTTGCTTTAGTCGCATTTCGATCTACTATATCAAAAACCGGGTTGATTTTGCTTTAGTCGCATTTCGATCTACTATATCAAAAACCGGGTTGAGGTTCTCACTTTATGTTTCGACCGTCCTCAAACGAAACTGTGTTACCGTGCTTGACGTTGCTCGATGCAAGCAAGATATTTTCCGATTGTCTCGCCCATAAATATTGTGCTCGGCCTTATTTAAGTGCTCGAGCATGATTGAGGTGTTTCAGCGGGATGCTCGAGTCGCAATTCAACCGAAACGGTCGAACGACTTCCGTTTGTGACTGTTTTAGTCGATGTTCTATTATAAGCACTTGCTACACCAGTTCGCCAAAAGTAAAATTATTGGGTTGATTCACTGTCAACGTTTAAGAAGAATCACAAGAAGGGTCAATATCTGAGGGTTATGTTGTATTTTTCCGTTTTTAACTACGAGGCATAATTCAACAATTACTAGGCAAAGCTATAAAGGCTTTTTCCAGCCTCCTACCCCGCTAGTAAAACTGCAAAGTTGCAAAATTGCAAAATTGTAAAACTGTTCAAAAAATTGTTCACATGGTATATTGCATGTAAGGAAATAATGTAAACATTTGTTCACTTGTCCATGCTGCCACGTTTAGATAATAATAATAACAAGACAGCTCATATCAGGGCAAAGCCCTGAATTTTCCGACTGCCTTTTAAGGTTTATGGAGCAGTAGTAACAAAAAAAGCTAAATGTAATAAAATAAAATTGAAAAAAAAATTCTAAAATTTGAATTTTTTTTATGAAATCATCCCTCACACGCAATATAAAGCACAAAAGAATAGATTTCGCTCATTGTAACATATCAATTATGGCAAATATGTTTCTTTCAACCATTTTGGAACGATTTCAAAGACGGATTAAATCTCCGCTTACGCGTTAATAGCGCGAAATATATTCTTTAAATCTTTAAACCCCCGTAACTTTAAGAAAAATGATCACAGGTGAAATATCTTTTCAAATTTAAGCTCAGGACAACAATATTTTTCGAATGATATAAAAAAAATTCCGTCAAAAATGGCTAGTTAAAAAGTCAAAATTTGTCCAAAGAAAAAAAAACCCACCCCGAGCACAAACATTCCGTTACTTTCGTATCGAAAGTCGGAACAATAACCCTATTTCACATGCAGTTTTTCTCATAAAAGTTCATTTTAAATAGACTTTTATACACTAGTGGACAAAATTAAGCGTAATTTTAATATTTTACTTTGTAAAATGCCTGTTTTCAGTGTACATTTTGGACAAAATTTCCTTCGAAATTCAGTAAAATTTTTACATTGACCGAGACCAAATGATCAGAGCTGCCATCTATGAAAGTATCAATGTTTGGTTTCAATGACTTACCAATGTAATCCGGGTCTGAAAATGCCATTTTTCCTCATCTGCACTAATTTTTGCATCGTTGTGAAATCCTTCTTGAATAAGAATTGAAAATGTCCAAAATGTACATTGAAAACAGGCATTTCACAGAGTAAAATCTTGAATTTGCGCTTAATTTTGTTCACTAGTGTATAGTGATTTATATTGAAAGAGTCCTTCAAAGGATTCAAAGAGCCCTTCAAAATGGGGGACTGGAAAAAGAGCCATTATAATTTACGAACTCAATGTTATCAAAAAAGAACAATGACGTGACTTTGTACCTGACTATGAACTCGATTGTGAACCAGGTCATGGCCAGACTCTCTGCCACTAGTAGACTCTGATGGTTGGCATCTGTCCTCCTCCGCTTTCCGGGGATGATCTCCTTATCCTGGTACATTGCATCCAGCCCATCCTCACCTAAATCTACTTCATCATGTGCACGTAATATACCAGTTGCAGGGTTGACAAAATAGTGCAAAAAAAAAAAAATATATATATATATATATATATATATATATATATATATATATATATATATATATATATATATATGTGTGTGTGTGTGTGTGTGTGTGTGTGTTTTGTATATTTTACAATAACCATTCATTTTTTCTATCTCAGTTCATTTTACGAATCCTTTTGCTGCCGAGCTCAATTGTTATAATATCACAAAAATTGAAAAAAAAACACCTTCGATAAAAGTTTAAGAAAAATGCGAGCATAACGATCGCATTATTTTAATACTAAACTGTTTTTGCTCCTGAGCATCATTTTTGGGGTCATCGTGGCATTCTATCTAATAGATTATCTATGTTTTTTTAAACATTTTTTGCCAACCCTGGTCGGTGATTGTGAAGTTCTTGGAATAGGTGCTGCTTCCAGGGTAGTTAGCGTATGCCAGATCCAGGGCAGTTTGGTTTATGGGCACCAGGACGAAGTAGTAATGGCTCTCTATGCACAGTACAAATATGGACAGAACTATCATGATCACTGACACTCCTAAAACAGAAACAGGAACAGAAATAGAATCAACTGAACAACTGTTTTTAGGGCTGCAAAAGTTCATTTTTGCTCAGGACTGAAATCGAAATGAATTTAGCAATTTCAGCGGCAACCAAAACCAAGTCGACCTGAGCGGCAAAATCAATTTCGGAAACACAAAAGTATAGCATATCGAATTACAATCTTACAAAAAACTAGCATAAAACTAGTATTTCACGATATCATTGAGCAAAATGAGTGAGTGGGGGGACCTGCGACTATTCTGGACGGGAGAGTGTTCTCGTCTGGCTTGTCGAACACCTTCCACACCCTCTCTCTCACACTAATCTCTCCCCCTTCACCCCTCCCCCTCCCCCTCCTCCTTCTCATCTCCTCTTCCTCGGCTGCAGCTGTCTGCTCCTCCTCCGCCTTTTGTCTCCTCTGGGGACAGTGGGTGTCTATGTACTTGTTGATCACGTCCTCCCCCATCTCGTAGAATCTACCCAACACACAGCACATAAATTGAAACTTTTCAGCTTCATTAGATAAACTTTTTTTATTTTATTAGAACTATATAAACTTTTTTATTGTATTGGAATTTCATTTGGCATATCAATTGTCGCTTGTTTAGTTTCTAGTAACGAACTATTCCCTCCCGCTTGTTTCATGAGAAGGGAAATTAATTTTAAAATATTGCTAATAAAAACAAGGGCAGGTATTGCCGGTTGCTATACATGTAGCACATAATGTTCCGATCTCATTTATAAAACCTAAAAAAATAGGGTTTTGAATTTTCTTCAATATAGGATTGTTTTTTTTTGTATGTAGTGTAATGAGAAAACTATACATATGCGTAGAAAGTTAATAAGTTAAGCATAATCGAGAAAAATCATCTTCAAAAAAAGAAGCACGACCAAAAACACAATAAATTTTAATAAAGTTTTGTAGAAAACTTTTAAAACCAGAGAAGCTTCGCTGAGTAAAATTAAGTTTTTAGCCAGAAAGACGAATTTTCAAAAACGAACGAACGTTACTTGATCGCTTTACTCCAATATAATCAATTTTAAAATCTTTTTGTATGCTACTTCCGTTCGTTCATAATAATTTACTTTTGTTCTCTCTCTAAATTTCAATTTTTCATAATTTAAATCGCGTTATGATAATAAGTCATGGGTTTTTGTTGGAATTTTTGAAATTTTTTCTAAAGTCGTTTGCATCACGACTGAAAAGGCTTCAAATGCGATACATCACTAGACCCAGTCCGATAATTATTTGTGGTACCTGATATCGTGTGGAAAAAACTAAAACACATCCAAATACAAAACTCTCCTCCATTTTCAATGATGCGAACAACAACCTGAGTTCGTCGAGGAACTCCTCTGGTGCCATGTTCTGAGGCTTGAGCAGTCTGCCCCCACTCTGGTAGAAGAAGAAGATGCAGTCGAACGCCTCTCTGTTCCGGTCGAAGAAGAACTCGTTCCTATTCCAGTCAAAGTAGTACTTGCACTTGTCAAAATCACCCAGAAGAGTGTTGGGGTACTTCCTAAACCACAAAAAAAGACTTTCAAGTTCAAATTTTAGTAACATTTAATTTTGGAATTACGACTCGACATCAAAGACCATTGAGCAGGTACGGCTTGCAAAAAAACTGGATCCTTGTCTTACAAAAAGATGACAACCAATCAGAAAACAAGAAAACATATAAGAAAAATTTTTTTTAAAACGCGTTGTTTCAACTTTTATATTTATAAATCCAAGAAGGCCGGGCGGACAAAATAAACAAAATAATTAACACTAAAAGAATAAGTTTTCAAATTTATTACAGTATATACTAACAGTGGAATTTGTACGAAACTTGTTATTTAGATTCGTCTTACATTATTATGACGCACTGCTTAGTATTTTTCTTTTCCATGCGAGTTGAGAAATGCATGAAACATTTTTTTCGTTGACTCACTTGATGTTGTTGAAGCTGGTCTCGAATATCTGCCCACATATGTTGATCTTCACCCTCTCGCTGACCCTAGAGAGGTCAAAGGTCAGTCCACTTCCCAAGTAGGACTGCACGCCCCCTCTCACAACCGGAGAGAACTCCAAGGCGCCCTCATACAGGGCAGTGTTGTTGTTGCGACCTAACACAAAACATAATGCTTCTGATTCGATTGGGTTCCATAAAACAAAAATACTTGCAAAAAAACTCCATAAGAGATCACGAGATCACTATAGACTTGAATCCTTTAAATCCAACTTGAAAAAAAAATCGAATATTTGGCTCTTTGGCTTGAGGTATATTTGTTCATGTTCACGAATTGTGAGTTTTTTCTACCGCACTGGAATTTCATGGGAAATAATCGATTATAATCAGGGGCGGATTTAGGGAGGGGGGGCGGATGCCCCCCTCTCAGGAATTCGATCCCCTGCCGACCCAAAGGGTCCCCCCATTGGTACTTTTTAAGAAATCCATTTTTGGCCGACCGAACCCAAAATTTTTTTAAAGGCGCCAATATATACTAACTTTGAGGGGGAGCACGCGCCAAAAAAAACGCGTTTTTTTGTCAAAATTTTCCAAAAAGCGCCCAAAAACGGCTTTTTGACCTGTTTTTTTTTAAAACTTGGCTGCGGCGCCAAAATTCTGGCCAAAACAGAGTCTTTTTTAGTGTTTTTGAGAAACAGAGAGCTCAGAAAACAGAGAGCTCAGAAAATCAATTTGAAGAGAGCTCAGAAAATCCGCCGCCCCCCCCCCCTCGAAAAAATCCTAGATCCGCCCCTGATTATAATAAATTGTAGCGGCAAAAAAACTTAACCCATACAAACGGTTTTCATGACCCATCCCATCCAATCATGAAAATGGATTTTTAGGGGATTATAATCGATTATTTTCAGTATTTAAAAATCCATTTTAATTGATTATTTTGACAATATAATCGATTTTTTAGGCAAACCCCCCTAATTTAACCCTCCACATTTTAACTCCACCATCTCCCCTACCCCGACGACCTACCCTACCTGCACAATGCAATAAACAGGAAATGAGATAGCTTGCAAAATTTGCAACTTTCACCAATAACCTCTTAAAAAAATCCATTATATTCGATTATAATCGTTTATAATATACTATAATGATATAAAAATAGAATCCATTTTTGATGGATTATAAACGATTACTATAATCGAAAAAACATTATGTTTATAATCCATTTCTAATGGATTATAATCGATTATTTTTGTAATTTTATGGATACTGACTAGAAAATGACAATATAATCGATGATTATCCATGAAACTCCAGTGCGGGTAGAGCAGTGTGACTACCTCAGTGAAATGTCGCAGTAGGCGAAACATGGTATAATTTTTAAACCCTATCAGTCATAGTTCAGATTCTAGAAAAAAAGTTACAGTGTCGAGGAAAAAATGGTTGAGACTGATCTTGCTGAAATTAAAACTGAGCCCAATTTGAAATCTAGTTCAATTTGTATGTTTTTTAGGATGCAATTACATTTCAATCTTACCGTTTCAACCAAACCGATTGTCCTTGACTTAGAAAAAACAACTGGAAACTCGAAAAAAATCGCTTTTTTTCTGTTTCTTTTTGAGATTCTTGCATAACTCATAGTAGTATAATGGTCGAAGCACTCTGTGTCTTTTGAGCAGTAACAGGAAAACATTTTGAATGCATTTTTTGGAAACTATGAGTGCCTCTTTTTGTCACTGAAACCAAACAAATGGTACACAAAAAAAACTCCAAAAGCAAAAATACTTTTTGCTTTCTTTTGTACGTATCAATTCTAACTATGAACTGAAAAACCAGGCGGCTCTGCAAATAACAGAGCAGGGAGCGTTTCGACTAGAATACTGTTTTGAAAACAATACATAGTACATATGTCAAACAAGATCTTGTTGAAAAAATTACGTCGTCTTTTTTAGCAAACGGGAGTTGCAGGAAACGGAAAAAAATTGAGCTGCAGGAAATGTAAGCATAGCTGAAGTCATGCAAAATCATTAATTGCTTGGAAAAAATCTTTTTTATACATTACGAGGCCAAACTGTGCACTGGATTTTTGTGTCTGTACGTTCCTGGATTCCAGAGACAAGTCTTTAATCATGTTTTGTAGGAAAGATCAAAGAAATTGAAATTACAAAATAAGAACAAAGGGAGTGTCTTGTTGCTCAATCAGCTTACATTTCCCAAAAGCCAGAGTTTGGCCTCACAATGTAAAAAAGATTTTCGATTTTTTTTCTGTGAAAAGCAACTTAATAGATAAACCAAGAACTTAATAAAAAAATTTAAAATCTATTCCAGCATAGAGAAAACAGGTAACTATATATTTTGGTTTTTTGGTTTCATTTTGAGCAAATAAAGCGAGCAAGCAGATTTGCAATAGCTTAGTTTCGCTTAATTTAAGCCGTGAAAACTTAATTTAATTCTTATAAAATAGTGTTTGGAATTTTAAGTGCCATTTTGTGAATCAAATGCTTCAAAATACCAAAAAAAAATTTGCAAAAACACCTTAAAAAGTTGAAGTTTTTTTCAGGTTTTATTTTTTTTTAATTCTTTGTCTGTGAAAACTATTGTCCAATTTGCCCATTTTGCTATGGCTTTTCAAAATGCGTAAGTTAAGTGTTTGGTTCAGATCATTTTATCACATCACACAGAAAAACGACACTAATTTGAAAAAAAAATGTACTCTTTTAGTTAAGGTTTGGAACTTTCTGTGTTACTTGCACAATAACCGGCTATTCTTGTTAAAATGTGGTTTCTTATGAAAAAATTGCCGTTTAAAGGTTATATCAGCTTCTTTGTTCCCACGAAATTTTGTTATTTGAGTTTTTTTTAATGAAATTTCAAAATAACACAAGTTAACAACAGATATGTTTGAGGGTTGATTGAATATTTTCGATAAGAGAGTTGAATTTCAAACAATTAAAAAAAACTGTTTTGGAGAAAATTAATTTGCAAATTCTGTTTTCCGACTTAATTTTAATAGGAGAATGAAAACATATGTGTTTGCCAATTTATTACTTACGTCAGTTCTAACAATATACAAGCTTTTTCTATCAAATTTTGGGCTAATTGCAAATGCAGCTTAATTAGACAAGAAACTATACAAAACTTTGAAAGAAAACTACGAACAAATCAATTTTGATATCGATTCATTACTTGTATTGAAAAATAGAATAAAAACTATGAGGCAGTGTTAAGGTGTTACCTGAAAAACTTGTACTAGTCACATTATTAGCTGGTGTACACTTCAGAACACATATTACTTTGCCCGGAGAAAAAAAAGTAATCCAAAAATGCACTGACGAAACAAATGAAAATTTTTGTGACATTCAAACAATGTACATTTCAAAAGCAAATTTTGATTTAATTCTAATGATAAATGCAGAAACTCTTGCACAATTTTGCACGAACCGAAACAAAAATAGAGTGATAAAAAAACCCATTTTAACTGATTTTAAATGAGTTGTAATTGATCTTAAATTTGATGAAAACAATCAATTTTTTAATTAATTTTGATGTCTGAGAGCAACATGGGAATCGATTATATTGATAAAATTTTAGACCTCAAAAACCCATTAAAAACTATTTCTTTTCAATTTTCTTAGTTGCTCAAGTAAACTTTTTGATAATAAGTTTTCATCACCCCGCACATTTGATCTAATTTGAATTGATTTTTTATGTTTTTGACTCTACATATTTGCCTATATTTGTCACTGCGGGGAGAAAACTAAATTGGTCGATCTTACAAAAATGTGGAGGAAATTTTAAAATTTGCTCAAAAAAATCTGCATTAAGAGGTCGAACTGTGCTCTCGTAAGGCCACAGAAAAAAATCTACCCTGCTTGCCCATAGCAGATATTGCGCAACCATGCACATCCATGCATGATTTGCAAGGAAAATGGCTAGTCATGCGTAGCACATAGATTTGTTTCAAAAACATTCAAAATAGCTGTTTGACAGATTAAATTAGTAATAAAACAATTTTTCATCAAAATGCAAGCTATTGGTAGGATATGAAAATTTTTTACGGTGCAAATCAGACATCATGTTTGATATACTGATCATATTGTTGTTACTTAAATTATTTTTTTTTGTATTTTTGAAATGTTTTTTTTTTTGAGACAGTTTTAACAAAGTTTTGTTTTTCTTTATCAGGTAGTTGTTTGTTCTGCTTGGGATCCAATTTTTTGCTCTGAATGACGGATAAAAAATTTTCAGTTTTCATATTTTTGAGGTCGTTCAGAGCAGCTATGGGAAGCCCACAAGAATGACCATATATGGTTCCCTGTTAACCATACGTCGCGCCATATATATTTTCCATGTCAATCATACGTCGCTCCATGCATGATGCCACAGTAGCCATACATTGCAAGCATCAATGGTGACAGATCACTTCCGATAACAGCCCTGATAAAATTATCAAAATTGTTTAATTTGGAGTCCCCATAATACAAAAAAAAGGGGAAACCATACGTCGCGCCATGCATGGAAAACGTGTTGTTTTAACAAAAAATTACGTCGGCAATTTTTCATGGCTTCCATGGAACCATGCATGGTGCGACGTATGGTTGCACATTTTGGTCAACCAGGGTAGATCCACATCTGCTCTATTATAATTAGAATTCAACATTGATGTAAAAAACTGGCTATCCGTTTAGTTCTGGTGCGATTACTCATAATTTCCTCCACAGTCTAAATCAAATTTGGACTCTACGCTTAATTCTTAATGATTGATTTTCTTATTTAAAAACTTATCTCGATAAGTTAAGATCAAAAATAATCAGAGCTTCACTCACCGATGGCGGATGAATATGCAAACATTTCCAGCTGTGTTTGCAACGAATAATGCCGAAGAAATAATTGCTTAAAAATAAATAAATAAAAGTTATCTAGAGGAAACTGCAGTGACAGAAATTAATAAAGGTGTATAATATAACGGGCTTCAAGTTTGTTTGTTCCATTTTTGAATTGTTGATTGGCTTCAATAACTGTACTCCGTTGATTGGCATTGCTTTTCTGTCTTATAAACCAGTTGTTTTTCATTGAACAAACACTAATTCATTCATTATTGCAGGAAATTTGTTAGGTTAACGAGTAGCTGCATATCGTTTTGCTTTGAAAATTCAAGAAAATATGATTTGAGAAAAAAATTTTAAGATCGACTAAAATAATGAACTTTTGATTTCATTTGACCAATATTCTTTTAGATATTTTCTAATCGATTTTAAAATTTCAAGTTTGTCTGAAGGAAAAAAAGACTACCCGAGTACAAATATTCCGTTACTTTCGCTACAAAAGTCGGAACAATAAGTTAAGTTATGAGCCTACGATCATAGCCGACTCATCGTTGTCTATAATTAATCTATGTGCCTTTTCTGTTTTTTAAACATTGCTGCACTAATACTAGAGCATAATCGATTTGCTCTACGGAGTCAATCTGGGAGGTATCATAGAGGTGCTGAGAAAATTTCAAACTCAATGATACTTTATGTTTTTAGAAATAAAAAAAGAAACCAAGCAACTGCATAAAGAGCTAGTATGAAAAAAAAATAACAATGCAAGATGCTGTTAAGTATCATAGAGTTATTTGAAGGGACTTCAATATTTAAAAAAAGTATTGTATTTTTTCGGAAAGTCCTTGGAGAAATTGTTGATGCTAAAAATTTTAAGCGACCTCTTTGAAAGAAGGACATCATCATAGTATCTGGTGTGCTTTATATTTTTCCCAATACATTATTTAATTGCTGCCCTATCTATAACAAATTTGAACATTGAGAATGCAAGAAAAAAATCAAATCTTGCAAAACTGCAAAAAAAAACAGTTTTTTTGACATGTTGAGATATAGATTAAAATTTCAATAAAGTTCGATCAATCGCCTAAAATAAGTAACGTGCACAGGAAATGTTTGACGGGGGAGGGGCAGATTGTTTGATGTGTAGGTATGGGTTTGTTTGAAGGTAAATTTTTGGTTCTATTACCCTCCACCTTTCGGCTCACAACTGGCTGACACACTGAGTTTTATTAAGTTTTTATTAAAAACAATACCAATCAGATAAAAGGAGACCTTAATATCAAACAAATTAGAAAAAAGTAATTTATGAAAATGCAGACAATGTAGTTAAATATAACTGAGTTAAGTTCCCGGGGAAAAATCAAGTACGCATGGAAAAATAAGAAGAACAGTTTCACAAATACGTTAGAAAAAAAACTGGAGCAAAATTGGGAATAATTAAAGAACGTAAGTTAAAAGCTGAAAGTGATGGCTTGAAATTGACTGAAAGTTAAGTTCACTCAGAGCTCAAAGCGAATCCTTTTTAGCAAATATGTTAACTGTGCAACTAACTACTGTTTGTATTTTAGGAGAATTGCTCTGATGGCGAGGCTGTATGGTGGAAATAATATCCGCCTTGCTCTGAAGATAATAATAGCTTCACTCATCTATGCGGGAATCAAAAATGACAATCCGCCGTCTTACCCATAAAAAATCATAGCAGCAGTAGGAAAAAATGATTTGGAACCGCCTATTTGAGCAGCACATCTTGTTCATGTTTGATTTCAACACAGTTAAATAACAATAACGTTTTTAATTTTTTTCGAAATAAAGAATTTTTTTTCCTCATAGAAAATTATTTTTTCTTGTAGTATTCATTCAAGAGGTTCTCATAATTTAGAAAAAAAATAAATATTCTATAAATTTGTGCAGGATAGATCAATTTTGGCCCCAATGTGAAGGAAATTCAGTGCTTAATATTCTAAGGAGTTGTTTTCCACTTTTGTTTTGATTCGGCTTGGCTGTCAGATGGTAAGTCGATTACGAGTAAACACGTGGACAATCAAGTGCACATCACAACAAAGTTTGCTTCGGGGCAGTTTAGGAATATTAAATGAAATAGAGCACAACCGAAACACGTCATAAACGTAATATCCGCAACCTAATTCAAAATGCAGCAAAAATCTGCCTGCTAAAAAATTGATAGGGGAAAGTAAACGTCAAGTAAGCTCAAAGTAGCAACTATGCTTGGTTTGTTTCATCCACCAACTTAGGTGTGTGAATTATGGATGATTATAATTTATATACGCGCTCTGAATTCATGCGCATGTTTGTGTTCATATAATTTTTTCATTCCTTGGCAAAAAAGGCGCAACAACGTTGCTGTTTACATTTTTCACTCCTGAAGGAAAACAATTTAGTAAAATATGTGAAAAGAACACCGCATCATATTCAAAAGGAAATATGTAATGAAGTATTTGTAATGGGGATATATGCTGTTCACTTTCAATTTCACTTTTATCTCGGAAAACGTAGAGTGAGTAGATTTTTTGAGAAGTTTTTTTTTGGATTTTATTGAGCAAGACTTTTCTTTTTTTAATGTTAAACTATATGAAGTTGACTTGAAAAACAAATGGGCGTCTTCAAAAAGAACCATAGAAAAAATATTTTATTTTTAGCTCGAGACTGTAAATGGGACTGCCACATAAAGAAAAAAGCATGTTGCAAGAAAGAGTATATTTAATTTTTACTCGCTCTCTCTTTTACCGGTTTGTGTGAGGATGTTTATTTGCAGCATCGACTAGGAGGCGGAGACGCAAATATAACTGTTTAATTTGTGTCCACAAACTCATCTTAAAATAGATATAAAAATAACTGGTTGAAAGCAGATTTTCATCAATTGCATTAAAAAGTGAATTGCTATGAAACTTTTAAAACATTTAAAAACTTTTTTATGACTTTTATCCAGGAATTTACAAAAGTTCAATTGAAAACAGCTATTTCAAGTTTGTACTCTTTAAAATAAAAAGAAAAAAATCACTGCTTGTCCCTATTGCGCCAAACTGCAACCTCGGAAAATCACAATTGTACAAAAATTTAATTCTAGTAATTCTGCGAAGGATCGCAAGGGGATATTTTTTTTCAAAATTTTGTATTCAGTTTATATTTTATATGAAAAAATTTTTAAACAACTGCTATCAAATTGCAGTTTTTCAGGGGAAAAGAAAAAATCAAACAGCACTATTTTTTCATTATTTCCGTTGGAAGTCAAAACAGTTATCAAATATCAAAGAAGTTTTTAAAATCCAACCAAGGTTACTATAAATCATATGTTTTGACTGTATAGTCATTGAAAAGCTGTTTTGTGTAAGTTTTTTCTGTACATAAAGAAGTCAAAACGCAAAATCGAAACAGTTTGAGTGAAATTTGCGTCAGTTGAGTTTTTTAGTGGCGTCATCAAATTTTTTTCAGAACAAATATGCACACGCGAGCTGCTAGGCCCTGCGGATGACCTAATGCTTGTGTGTTTGATCGACTATTAACTTTCCATTGAAATGAATATGTTGTTGGAGGTTGTCATATTTTCTTTATTGCCTCAAAAATTTTTACGTAGCTGTAAGTAGACAACCGATTATTCATAATCGTCGGTAACGAGACAAATATTGAATTAAACAATCATATAGAGACAATCAAGGCTTCTCCTTGAAAGGAACAGTCTTGTTAATTTTGACTTTCGAAGAAAGTGAGGAATATATATGCTCGATTTAGTCAGTTTTTGTTCAGACCAAATTCAAATTTTTTATCCATTTTTTGCTCACAAGGCGGATTGCTCGCTGGATCCTTGTGGACCCCTACTAGTGCGCACACTACGGTGTTAAACTTGCACTAGTCAAATTAAATTGCTAGTTATTTTATTTGATGCTGAAAGTTTAATGCCGCGTGTTCAGAAAAAATTCTCCCACAGTTCAAAATCGTTACAAAACGAATTGAGGCAACTAAACGCTTCTATTGTTAGCACTTACAAAAGCCTCAAAATCATATTTAGTCAAAAAAATTTCACTCAAACTTTTTAATAATTAATAAAATACGTTTTGTTTCAAACTTAATATACTAATTTAGTGGCAGTCGAAACATTCAGGGCTTTGCACTAATATGAGCAGTCTTTAGCTGTCTTTCTTTCCCCCACCTCGCATGAACATGTTTTTTTATGGTGTAACGGGTGGTTTTGCAAAGTTAAGTATGAAGATCAAATATGTTTTACACCGCAAAGTGTAAAAGTTTGCGGTTGGGGGAGGAATGAGAACCCAGTTAAATTTTGTTCGATGTTGTTTCAAAGTTTTGCGGTCAAAAATCTGAGCAAAGTTAACTTAAAATAAATACGGTTTTTTGCTTCAAGGTAACTGCTAGGTTCCTTTGACTGATGACTGCTGTTCTGAATAGTACGGTTTGATTTTTTCCTAGCATTTTTTGGTTGCAACTTCTTGCAGCCTCAAAAAAGTTTATATTTGATTGGGCATAATAAGTAGGCCTTCTCATGGCGGTCCAAATTTGCTGGCCTAGCTTACTGCGAACTAAAATTACACATTACTTGAATGAATTTTGCAAATTGCAGGTTTTTACAGTCAATGACTCAATTTTTATATAATTCTGATCATCATTCGACCCTATGCGATTCATGATTCGAACCTGTTTGACTCATGATTTGATCATGTTCGACTTACCATTCGACCCTGTTCGAGTGATGATTGGACCCTCTTCGACCCAGCATTCGACCCTGCTCGACTCATCATTCGAACAAATTCGACCCTGTTCGACTCATGATTCGACCCTGTTCGACCTATGATTCGATTTTGTTCAAGTATAGCTTTAGTTCAAATGTCTTAACTAGCGACAAAATTATGACATTTAATTGACCGTTTCAGTCGAATCATGAGTCAAACAGCTCAACCCAGGTATCAAATAAACTGGGTACTTATAGATTCGTAAATATTTATTTCAAAAAGTTACGTACTTATAGATTGATTTTTATCACTTTGTAATTCTCATAATTAGCTCAAAACAAAAGTGTTTCCAAGTTTATAAAACAGAATACAGACAGTAGTTGCAGCTTCGAACTCTCTCAAACATTTCGTTGTCATCTCGAGTTCCATTCAGAACAATGAAAATGTTTTAGTTCGAAAAAACTGACAAGACTTCTCGCGTCAGGGCAAAACCTTGATTTTCCGACTACGCTTTGTTTGGCCTAGGATAGTTTTTGGTATATTATATATTGGGAAAAAATATGTACTTATGCTAACTATATATAAAAATCAGTATTGCATTTAGAGTCGTGTATGGAGTTATTAAAACCAATTGGTGCCTCAAATCAGTTTGAAACGATTTTGTAGTGCGGGATTATAAAAGAAAGACATACCATGGTACGTCACTGTAGTAGTGTGCACACTCGTCTGGCTGCAACCAGATAAAAAGATAGATTAAACCTCCGAGGGACTAGAAATTTGTAAAAAAAGATCTGAAAAAAAAACCACCTCGAGTATATATATTACTCGCTTTCTTCGGAAATCGGAAGACTAACACAAAGAGAAGATGCCATCTGCTAGTTTAATATTAAACCTTAACAAATATGTCTAAGGATCGATACCAATTCCGACCGCTTTCCCATTTTTATAATTGCAATTAATTTCAGTTAATTGGGTACTGCTGATGAGAATGAAAGCAAATAAATTATATACGCTATAAAAGCAAGTTATGAAAACATACATGATATAACTGAAAACGAGGGTGACGTCATGCTATAAACGTATAAAATAAATGTATCATGGAAACATACCTGTCGTAGAACACACAAAAAAAATAATCAGAACTGACTCTGCCTGGCCTGCGCTATGTTATATCGCTCCTATTGGTTGTTGCTCAATAATTAAACCGTTTTTCATTGTTATACCTCTCATCGCTTGGCCTGTTGGTTTTATCAAATTAAATCATGACATGCCTATCAAAAATGAACTTTTTGCCTTGAAATAATTTGCAACAACGAACGCAGAAGATTTCTGGAAATGCAAACGTGTCAATAAATTAACCTCGAGACTGAAATGCAATTTCTAAATGAGTGTCTTGTAAATTCAATTCCGTTGCTGTGGCATTACAGAGCGAAAACTCGGGCTTATAAGATATTAAAATCATTTTCGAAGAAGTATTCGCAGAGCATCCAGATGATTAACTTGAGAGATCGTTGAAACCAAATTCTCAAATTGTACATCGATTGCATTTTGATATTGTTACAAAAGTTTTGATTGACAATGGAACAGCTATCTACGGGAGAGCAGCCAATTAGATTTTAACAACCCTTCGTCAAATTTGGCATCTTTTTAACGCAAATTTGATTGTTTTTAATTCTGTAAAATTGTTTTTCTGAAAATCAAGTCATCTTTTTTTTCAAGCTAAAACACAAAATTTGTTGGATAAGACCTCACCCCAATCTAATTCTACCGCAGTTTCTACAATAAACTAGAAATTTTTAATTTTTTTCTGCATATTTCTGCAATCCAAACCTATCGCGTATTTTTATGAAACAAACAAAGGTCATTGATAATATAATATATGAATACTTTGATATTTGGTATTCGATTATCATATAAAATTTCCCAGTATTTTGAAAAATAAGTGTAAAAATGTTTGATTTTTTTTTCTAAATTTCGAGCGAATAAAGCGAGCAAGCAGTCTATTTTATGCTTAATTTAAGCCATTTACAAATAGCTTATTTATGAACAAATTAGTTTTAACCAAATTGGGATGTTTTTTTTTGTTTTTCTAGTCATTTTTTTAATCTATTTTAC